GAGGAGGAGGAGGAGGAGGAGGAGGAGGAGAAGGAGAAGGAGAAGGAGAAGAAGAAGAAGAAGAGGACTTGCAAAATAGAAGAATTAGTACGGATTTAGATAATTTGTGGCTTCGAATATGGCCATAATAATCCAATTCTAATAAAGAAAAGTTTGTCACATTATAAGAATTTAAAAGCTTTTAATCCGCTTGTGGATGTGTGCAGCTTACGGGCTTTGATTCGCAAAGCCTCATAGTGTGCTCTGCCGTACGCTGTCAAAACGTTTTTTTCTTACTCAGGGCAGTTTCAAGAAATCTACGATTTTTCTATTTTGTTATATGTAACCACTTTTGCACTATACATCAACGCTTGATCTAACACCGTGAAGAAAATGTTATTCTTAATGCTCAACGAAATATTATACTATAAGAAAGCCGAAATTCGGTGATTTCTCGAAACTGCTGTGATTAAGAAAAAGGCGTTTTGTCATCGGACGACAGCGCTGCCCTCTGTGCTCGCTGATTTCTAGTTGGGTGTGTTAGAAGCCAGTGTAAAAAGAAAGACAACTCACCGTTTTCAGCTCGGCCATTGTCAAGTCCACTTGGTCGTCGTCCATTTTGAAAAGTTCCCCACTGATAGGTGACCAAGTTGGCAGTGTGTGTTGATCCTAAATAAAGGCGACCAGTAGATCCACTTTTTGGAGGTTCCCTCTCCCAGTAGGAAAATGAATCCAGTTAGTGGCGGATGGAGAGTGTTTATGGTACTTGTCGGTTGTTGTTGTTTTTTTGCCTCAGACTTTTGAGTGCCTCTTCTTTTCGTTTTCCCAATTCTAGATTCGATTGTGTTGTGTGAGAGATTCGAGAAAGTTGTAATCAATCGTCAGACACTGAACATTTCAGTTTCTGATTGAACAAAAGAACTTATTTTTAAACACATGCACCCTTGTAAAGATTAACTGAAGTCTCCAACGGCTTATCGAAAAAAATCGATTCAACTTGGTGGGCAGTGATTCGATGATGAGCGACAGCTGATAAACTCACAATTGTTCTTGCGTTTTCCAAGACCAGAACAGCCTTGCTTTCCGTTGAGGAAATCCCAGACAAAAAAAACAACGCAAGGTTTTGTTGTCCAAGAGAAGCGCCACCTTCAGGTCTGGTCTCAGCAACCTTCCTACTCCGAGGTTTGAAGGTTTTAACCCTCTCTACGTCCTTCCAAATTCAAAAGTGAATTTCCAAAAAGAAAGGTGCTCCCCAACACAGAGGCATGTGGGCCGACGTGTTCGCTTTTGCCTTTGACAGGAATTTGGACGAGGGTCATCAATCCTCCGGTTTCTGCACGTTACCACTAATTTCTCACAGAAACCCCCAACTTTGTCTTCCCAAGAAAATAGCTTTCACTTGAAAATGAAGTTTGGGGTTTGAAAATCACAATACATTTTCATCAGAAACTGTCGTCATAGTTTGGTCAAGTAAGTGCCACGTATGTCTAGAAGAGGGTCGAAATCAATGACGTGTTTGTAAGATGAGACTTGTTTATCCAGAAGTAATTTCTACCTTACAATATGTTCTTGAAACTTGAACCCCATTCAATAATATAATCCGGCCAAAAAAACAGCCTATAAAATAGCCTCTATGAAGGAAACACAATATTTCTTGACACGTTTTTCGCTAAAATTGAAGGATTGAACTTTCTGATAAATTTTCTTTTTGAAAGAATGCAAAAACACCGTCAGAATTGAACAAGTATATTCTACAATATCTTCTTCTTGAAAATGTGTAGACACTGAGGGGATGAATAATATCTCTGAACGCTTAGTGTACAACGACGAACAATCCCAGAAAGCCGACCAGGAGCACAGGAAAGGTTCCACAATCAAGAACACAGCAAATTGTCACAACAAGGTTTGCTGGGAGGGAATACAATGAGACGCTACGTTGATAACAGTTTACTTGATCAAAGAATGTGAATAATGAGTCTGCTAAAGATTGATTATTTGTTCCAAAACACAACTATATTTATACACATCGTAGGTTAGCCAATAGTATGGGTTTAAATGCTGTGTTTCAGAGATTTCCTGGGTGAAAGAAAGCTAATCGTTTTGATTAAAACATCACAAACAACACTTGTTCTTGCACGTACTAGGAGGGTCATCCTGAAATCGCCCAGTAAAAAAAAATAAGTTATTAATTTTGCAAAAAATGCAAACTTTTTTTCTCTCTTTTTGCACAGACAGCGAAGGAAGACAGGAGTCCAGGGGGATAACAGTGTTTATCCCAACAGCGCCCACTTCTCTTCCATCGGTGAAATCACAAACTAACCTCGACTCGATTTTCGCTTTTCAAGTCATCATACGCAACTGACAAACAGTGCGGCGACAACGCGATGATGCGAAATGTTCGTCGTCTCTTCGTCTTACTTGAGACAAGAAGAAGAAGGAAACAATGAACAACCACTCAGCGATGTAGCCAGGTCACAGTACAAGTACAAGTGTGAATCAAGGTGGGCACGGAGTCCTTTGTCTTCAGTGCTTTTCTGTGTGTGAAGACGCGCAGAGAAGCCAAGAAATAAATAATGATTTGGTTCTTTTAAGGTATCCGGATCCTCAGAGTTGGTTCCTTCCTTCAGATCCTTTTGAGTTTACTGAAAAAGAAACGAGACAGGCCATTTCAATGTGATGATATGACAAGGTAATAATGTCTAGCAAATCAATACGTACTGTACTCAGAAAAATTGCCAGCGGAGATTGCAATGTCGCCGAGGACTTTGTATTCAAGACTTTTGTTGGTTTTGACAAAGACAAAAACAACCCACCAAAGAAACAGAGACAGATGAAAGAATAATAATGTTGAAAACGTCAGTGTGTGCTCTCTTCCTGTTTTGTTAAGAGGAAAGGGATGAGTGTTTGAGAGATAACAAGGCACGGGTTGGGGGGGGGGGGGAGGGGAGGTCCAAGAGGGCGGGGTTTTTTGTTTAAATAAAGAGGAGGAGGGAGGGGGAGTGGGTGCAGGGGCAGGAGTGTTTTTGAGGGAAAAGGGGGGGGGGGTGAGTCGCGTTGAGACACTTTCAAAATGTTAACTTTAGACTGAAATATCTCATCTCTTACAGGAATTAAAGAAAAAAAACCCAAACCAAACAAAGGATAGCACCAAAAGGGAAAACAGTTTTTATGTGGTCTGTTCCAGTTTGTGATTTTGGTTAACCTGTTTATTTTGATACCTATTGCAATGGTTTGACATTTAATTTTGGAACATTGTTAAATAAGAAAGGGAAAAAAACCCTCCGCACTTTTCTTTGTGGTCATAGTAAAAAAAGAAAAGACAAGAAGCAAAAGCAGACACGCTATACTTTGAAGCCAACCAGCTTCTGCTGTGGTTTAGTAGTTAGGGATTCTTCGCCGGCGTCCCACGCAGAATACATTAGTACGATTTTCCTCTGGGGATGTTTTTTGTTTCGTCAAATGAATCCAACATTCTCGTCTGAGCATAATTTAAAGTCAACAAAACGTTTCCCATTTGACCCAATTGGCCTACGCATGTCAAGGGGCCAGCACTCTTTACACGCGGCGTTAGAGTCTCTGTTATACATTACGTCCTCGTTGGTTACTAGGGTAATATCTTGCGACAAAATTATCTTTATTCGAAATACATTACTCAAAGCCTAATTTCTGTCTACTTTTCTGCGCTTTGGGCCATTCCCACCCTCCTTTCAACGCCGAACTAAAAAGAAACCAGGGGGAGGGGATCTTGGAGGTATGCCCACCTGTTTTTCCAGATAATTTGACGTTTTGCAATTAAGTTTAAACATTTCATGAACATAATCGGTTTGCTACAGTATTGGTGGCTATATGTTTGATCTGCAGCAAACAAAGGTGCCGTATGACCCCAAAAGCAATGCATATGTGTGCGAGAGCGAAAGTAAAAACTACCAGCTGACTTTGCTCCTAGTTACTTGTACAGAAGAGCTTCAGAGGAACAACGGTGCTACATGCACAACAGAAGGGTTTTCATTGAGGGACGTTCTCTTTGACTTATACCCCCGTGCGTCTTCAGGGTCGTTGTATCCCTCTCAGCCCTGGCTGTCCCCAGTCCCCAGCAGGCAAGGCCAAAGCAGCGCATGCTCACACTATTGGAACAATGAGTGGCGAAGGGGTCTTCAAACCTATTCCGCACCTACACACAGAAATGCATTGAGGCAAGTTATGCGGCATACGCACACCTCAGCATTTAATCGTAATTCCAGCTTTTTAGACAATTACTGTAGTTCCTTTCAACCTGCTGTTGGTTTACACAAGTAAGACATAACAACTTTTTTAAAATTGCCAAATTTAGATCAGATTATGAAAGTTGAATTGTATACTGATCTATGAAGTTCAGCAAATTTTGTACCCAAACACAGCAATAAGACAATTCGGAAACATCTTTCCATGTCATATAAAATTTCCTTGGTAAAGATAGTGATTTGTCAAAATTCTTTAACAAGCAGGTCTTTTTAAAGAACCCCCCCCCCCCGAATTTTGGAGCGGGGTTTATCTATCTATCTATCTATCTATCTATCTATCTATCTATCTATCTATCTATCTATCTATCTATCTATCTATCTATCTATCTATCTATGTATCTATCTATCTATCTATCTATCTATCCATCTGTCCATCTACTTATCTATCTATCTATCTATCTATCTATCTATCTATCTATCTATCTATCTATCTATCAACATACGCATAGGTTAGCTGCCTTTTAGAAAACACGTTTACATTCCTACGTCCACAGGCATACACAAAGTACAAAATACAAAAAATTACTCTCAAAACAGCCAACAGCTGCTTGCTGGTTATGGAAAAGAAGTGCATAGATTTCCTCCTAGATAGTGTCAATAGAAAAATCCATCAGTTCTCTGCTGAGCTTGAATTTATTGCGAGTCAGACCTTCCTAATTATCGTAACATTATGCATGTTTTTTCCGCTCATCTGAAAAGAAATACCACAGAAAAAGTGCAATTTGTCCGGTTTAAAAACGAAATTATGAGATGATATACAAACAAGGTATTAATCATTTCTGTTCCTGCAAAGTTTTCAACCCGCCTGTTGTTTTTCTTCTTTTATTTCTTTTTCATTCGTGCATCATTTCTCTTTATCTCTGTTTGCGTCTTTGGTTCTCTCTCTATCTCTCTCTCTCTCTGTCTCTCTTTTGCTCACTACTCAACAACTTCTCTTTCTCTACTACTCCCCCCCCTCCACCAACTCCAACTCTATAACCGCCTTTCTCTCCTTCTCTCTCTCTCTTTCTCTCTCTCTCTCTCTCTCTCTCTCTCTCTCTCTCTCTCTCTTCAAGGCGTTACTTAAAGGCTTAAGAGTCTCCTTCTCCAAGGACGGTATTGCCCCCTTCTCCTCCTCGTCCTCTTCCTCCTCCTCCTCCGCCTCCTCCTCCTTTTGTTTTGTTTCTTCTCCCCCCCCCTGCAGTCCAGGACTACATTGTTCTCCTCTGTCTCATACAGTGTGCCGTGCTGTATTATGAATAGAGTGTTGTCCTGTCGTGTCAGCGGCCCTGTCTTGTGACAGGCGACACCTACCCGCGCCGCGTTTTCACTTGTCTGTCGTTCTCTTTCCTTCTGGGTTGTTTGGTTTTTTTGGTGGGTTTTTTTGAGTGTGTGGGGGGGGGGTTGTTTCTCTTTTTGTCTTTTTCTCTTTCTCTCGCACGATCTTTCTCGTGATCTCTCTCGTGATCTCTCTCTCCCTCTCCCTCCTTCCCTCTCTCCCTCCCCCTCCCTCCCTTCTTCCCTCCCTCCGT